TTTAGGAACCTGTTTTTGGTGTTTAGGAACCTGTTTTTGGTGTTTAGAACTTATGTTGACATTTGAAATGAATTGTGTCTATTTTTGCTTCAATTTTCGTTTATTTTAGCTTCAGTAGGTAGTGGATATTTTTGTTTCAGTTTTTGGTCAATTGGTGGATGAATTGTGTCTCAAATTTTGTGATAGAATTGTATATTTGGGGACTTTTGAGTTGGTGTGTATTAACAGGTGGTATATGGAAGAAAACAGGGTACTCTCTTGCCAAATTTTTTTAAAAAGGTAGGGACGTTATTCGCAAATGTTTCTAAAAGGTAGAGACATCACTCGCCAATACTTTTTATAGGTAGGGATGTTTTAAGAAAAATTATAACTACGTAGAGATTATTAACGCAAGATTCATTAGATTTCTAGAAAAAGTGAACAAGACCCGTCATCTTCACCAATAAGCCAAAATGAGCCAGTACCATTGAAATGATAAATACTTCACAGCACCCATTTCCACTTGATCTTCGCCATTTACCCCGTGGTTACAATAAGCATAAACTAGAAATGAACATCTAATAGTTGTCTCTATAAATTGACCACCCATTCAATATATGTTTTGCTATATTTTTCTAGAAACCCAACATTAGAGCAGCAATGGTGGACCTAGTGGTCGAATTTCACCATATATGTTCTTTACGACATTTTTTCCTTCATTTAATGTAATAATTTAAAGTATTTTCACACCCATTTTCCAGCTACTGTTACTATGTGGACTACGTAGAAGGCGGGAAGAAGGGTTCAGTTGGGTGAGGACGATTTTACCCTTGTTGACGGGCAAGAAATTGGGTCTCTCTCTTTAATTAACGCCAGAAGTAACGAGAGTTGGACGGAAGGACCTTCGTCGCAATGAAAGGTTGATTTGAGGGCAAAAATGTCAAAAAAATAAAAGGTGAGGATGTTTTCCACAATGAAGTTGAAAGGTAGGGACGTTTTGCGCTAATTACCCTAAAAACAACAACCAATGATTAAAAAATAAATAAATAAATTACTTCACATGGCAAGGTTCAACAAGATAGCTTCATATACTTTAAGAATATTCTTGCAAAAGTAAAACCATCAAGTAAAAGTTAAACATGGATAGAGAACAAGTTAACAAAGAAAATTATTTGAAATAAGTCAATATTTTCTCAATTAAGAAGAGTAAGAGTCACATGGCAAGGTTCAACAAGATAGCTTCATATACTTTAAGAATATTCTTGCAAAAGTAAAACCATCAAGTAAAAGTTAAACATGGATAGAGAACGAGTTAACAAAGAAAATTATTTGAAATAAGTCAATATTTTCTCAATTAAAAAGAGTAAGAGCGCATTCATGCTGGGTCTCGGACATAAATTCTTCAATTCCTTCACCTTGTACCAATAATGGAGTCTCAGTCATACTAAAATCCTCGTTTTCATTGTTTGTATATTTCTATTGTTGTCATTTTCATCATAATCAAGATCAAGATCATCAAAATGTAATTTGTCTAAGAATACTTTTAAATTTCAACATTACATCATATATACTTCAATAAAAAGAAGAAACAATAGCGTCAATCAAACAACTACCATCATTTTTATCATTTTTTGTAGAGCATGCACCCAAATCACGACGAAATGTCTCCAACTCATCATCTGCCATATTCAGTGGCCCCTCTTCTAATATCCAATTGCCATAAATGCCAAACCTTTCAAAGTGGATAGGATTATGATTTCGACTTTTGAAATAATTCCTAAACAAAGTTTATTATCCAATTTATAATTAATCAAAATATAATTATAGTAAAAGAAAGCAAAATCTTAAAATAAAAAAAATCACTAAAGGATGAAAAGATTTATTTAAATAATATTACCGTTATTGCAATCGTAAATTGTAGTGTACATAAACAAGATCATTAAGCCTTTAGTGCTCAAGTCTATTTCTCCTTTTAAATTGAATATGTTCAAACATACTCTAATAACCTGACGAACTACATGTTTGACTTAATACTAGAATTGCAAGTATTTGTAAGTTTGGTGCACTACTACCATAACACATTCACCATTCATATGTACCAAAATAAAGAGAAAATAAAATAGGCATATGTTACATAAAATAGCCATTCAATTCTTCCTTCTTTGAAATCTGCGCTCCATCTCACTTTTTGCCACATGAATAGCTTTATACAAGTAGCCCATCGAAGGCTTTTTATCACTATCAACAATTCATAGAACACGAACGAGGGGTTCAATAAGTTGCACAATAGTAACGCACTCTTTCCAAAACATAAAATCAAGTACGTCATCAACGAATCTTTTTCCTTTACTTTCCTTTGCATATGCTGATAAAGTCCATTCTCTATATGTCACAATTGCTCTTAATGGGTTTTTTGGGCCAATATGCTTTGTAGAGCAATAAAGTTAGTGGCAAAACGAGGAGAAGTTGGTCGAAGTATTTCCTTTCTTCCTCCACTATTCAACCCCTTTCCTAACTGTGACTAAACCAGATAAACTTAATCGTAACTCACAAAATTGACCATTAATCTAAACTTAATTCATTTGTAAGAGACTAGCCATTAACCTGATAAACGATTTTGCAGCAATTCGGAAGAGATTGACCAATAATCTCATAAATGATTTTTTGAAAAAGATGAGATAATCAACGAGTCGTCTTCCACGTTTTTCCAACCATCCCTCCCGATTTTGCAGCAATTCAAAAAAAAGTTTTAGGTACATAATAATCAAAACGTGGTTTATAAAAATATGTGATTAGAATTCAGCCTTTATTTGTCAATTATTCTTAGACATTATTTTTAACAATATATTTTTTATTAAAATAATATTACATATAGATAAAAAAAAATATATATATATTCTTCTTTTTTTAATCACGAATTTCAACATTAATCACTATTTTATAATACACTTTTAGAAATTAATGGGCACAGACAGAGCCTCAATAAATCAATCTTATCTATCAACTGACCAGTTCTAAAGTACTGTATGCCGTTGGGAATTCATTCAAGCGACACAGAGTATACCACTTTCTTCACCATCATCGTCTCCATTACAGAAGCCAGATTATGTATCCCAGGCTAATTTGGTTAAAATGTGCAACTCTGCTGTTGTTAGTTTTCTGCTGGAAGGCTTTATCACACAATGTCGTCGAGACTCTGCCAGGATTTCCTGGCAAACTTCCATTCAGACTTGAAACTGGGTAAGCTTCTCTTTTTCATTTTCCTCCAACAATATAAGCAGTTATCTGATGTTCTTTTGCAGTTACATTGGTGTAGGAGAATCGGAAGAAGTGCAGCTATTTTATTATTTCATCGAGTCTGAAAGGAACCCAAAAGATGATCCCTTACTGATTTGGCTCACTGGAGGCCCGGGTTGTTCTGGTCTCTCAGCTCTTATATATGAGATGGGTATGTTTCTCGTCTTTAGTACTGTATTTGGCTCAAATTTGAATTTTGCTATTTTCCCTTACCAGTCATCAAAGTAAAAGTTTGTCCAGCTGCTGACGCTTTTAGATGAGTGATTAAAGCAAGTGGAAGGTTGATTTGAAATCCTACCGCCACTCATTTATGAAAATTATATAGATCATAAGGCCTTTAATAAAAGTAATTATGACATCCGTATCCATGTCTCATTATGTAGAAATAGCATTACTCGTATATTTATATAGAGCTTGAATGAAGCCATGGCTGGATTGAAAATTCACATCCTTTTGTTTTTTGTGGTTGGGAGGGGCAACAGTGTGAACTAAATAATTTCTTAACAATCAAAAGGAACACACAAATTAATTAGTCCAGGATAGAAAAATGTATAAATCGAAGTGCGCCATTAATTCCAACTACATTCAAATTTGATCTACTTTTGCTTAATGAGATTTACACGAGCATAGCACAAACTGCTCGAGATTCATGCTCCATTACACTTCAGATTTGCAGGGCAATGTTTGATATTCATGTTCACATGTAGGCCCCTTCACTATTGACTATGCCAACTCCAGTGGGAGTCTACCAGCACTGGTATACAACCCATACTCATGGACGAAGGTTTGAAACTTCATCACTTTATATTGGTGGTGATTAGAAGCATAGGTCTGTGATTTCATAGTTTCTGAATCTAGAGGAATGAATCTGCTATAATTTTGTAGGTGGCAAATATTATATACATAGATCAGCCGGCTGGCAGTGGATATTCATATGCTAAAACTTGGGAAGCATACAACACTAATGATACGCTGTCAGCAGCACATACTTATGAGTTCCTTAGAAAGGTAAGGAGTGAGGATAATCTATAAGTAATTGAAAATGTCACTCGACATGGAATAAATTGACTTCTACTCTTGAAGTTTCCGTTACTACATGTTTGATGTAAAACATTAAGCTAATAGCTCCAGCGTACTAATTTCAGCATGACGTATTTGAAAATTTTTTGTGCAAAAACCAACAAAGTTTGATTCATTTTTTTTGGTGTTGCAGTGGCTTATATATCATCCCAAATACCTTGAAAGTCCACTTTATATTGGTGGTGAATCTTATTGTGGCCTCGTTGTTCCACTTGTTGTTAACAATATATACAATGGTAAAGTAGCTTATGCATTGTTATATTTCACAAGCAGAAAAAAGAGTGAAATTTCCATTAGAAAAAGCTATATAACTAATGAATTATGTTTTCTAATTCCTTATCATACTCGTGGCTGTCCAATTGGAACGCCGAAGCATTTACATGTAAATCTAAGTTCTTGGTTTGAAGATGGCATTTAGAATTCTCTAATTTCTCTGATTTTCTTCAATTTTCTCTTTCCTTCGGTAGCTATTGAAGCTGGAAGTCAACCACCCTTGAATATGAAGGTATAAAACTGATGACCTGGATCTGTTAGTTTGTTATAATACTATACTACTGTTGAAGTAGCCTCTATAAATTATTAAGACTGTACTCTTTGAATTAAATGCAGGGATATGTGCAAGGAAATCCAGCGACAAACAAGTATTGGGATACCAATGAAAAAATCCCTTATGCTCACCGAATGGGACTCCTATCTGATAGCCTTTTCAAGGTAATTCTACAAGCCAAATCTAGAATATTAAGAGGGGAAGTTTATGAAACACACCCTTTATATAGGGTGTTATTCCACTTTGCATACAACATTGTTGGAAAATACAATTTACCTACTATTGTGTCATTAGCGTTAACCAAATAACATATTTGGTCAAGTCTCCAGACAGTACACTTAATCTACAATGGTTTAGAAATAGCAATTACAATATTGCTATTTGATGAGCTTTTGGAAGTTCGACTTTGTATAACTTAATTCTAGAAATTGCACTTACGAAATGGTAGCATATAGATCATAAATCCTGATAATATTGTATGTGAAGTGTAAATATCTCTCTACATAGGATACGTTCTTTATCTTTTTCCAATTTTTTTGACATAGACTTTCACAATAATTTTTTTAAAACAAGAGTGTGTAAATTAATTTCAGTAAACAGGCCTTTGGAAGTTCAACAACTTTCTGTGTACAAGGTGTTTTGTAAATTTCCCTATTATGAACCTTCATGTTAAAACCTGTTCTTGATTCCTCCGCATCTCATCGAAATGGAAAAAGTTGCAAGAGAAATATTTGTCTGTTTATGATGTTTCATAGATGTATGACTCAGCTGCAAACTTTCAAGGATGTAGACTCTCATTCATTGGAACAATATTCGCTTCCTCTGAACACTTTTATTCCTTATCATTACCAACTTCAATTTATCGTATTTTTCTCTCTTTTTTTATAGTTGGTGAAAGAAAGCTGCAAAGGAAATTACGTTCATGCAGATCCAAACAATGTTCCATGTCAGAAAAATCTTGAAAGGGTAGCAGAGGTGTGCATGGTTAAGTGCTTAACTTCACTCACTATAGTACATATCTCTATGATTTCCTATGTTCTAAGAACAATCTGTGGTTTTTGATGTGTAGTGTCTCGATAAAATACCTACTCATAACATATTAGAACCATGGTGTTCATTGATGTCAAATAAACGGGATTTGCTTTCATGGGATTCAAGTTTTGAAGAGGAAACCAAAGATCTCTTACTATCAATGAATCCTTCTAAAAGATCATGGTGTCGAGTAATATTCTTTTCCTTTCACCAGCCCTTTCCTTCAAAGACATTTTTGTACCAGTTTGATGTAGTCAGTGTTCTAACATGGTGCAGCCTGATAATTACTTGTACTCGTACATATGGGCTAACGATATATCTGTACAAAAAGCTCTTCATGTTTCTGAGGTATGCCAATCAATGGGTATGAAATACATATTCAAAGTTCTCGTTTCTTTATGAGATCATAGTAGCCTGACGATGATAACCAACAGGGAACAATAAAGGAGTGGCTGAGATGTAATATGAGCATGCATTATCGTCCAGGGAAGCAGCATGGATCTTACATGTTTGATGTCCAAAGTACTGTGGAATACCACCGGAATTTCACCCATAAGCACTGTCGAGCTTTAATTTTCAGGTGATATCCATCATTTGTATCTAAACCTGTTTTATACATAATTATCTACACTCACATCACCCCTGTATGTAGTATATTGCAAAGAGCTACTAGCAAACCCTCTCCAGTTAGAGTTCTGATATACACAAATGATATTGGTTTAAACCTCATTATAGTCATAATTTATTTTGTCTGCTTTATATATTGATTTTGCAGTGGAGATCACGACATGGTCGTTCCTCACACAAGCACTGAAGGATGGATAGATTCGCTTAACTTAACTGTTCAAAGTGATTGGAAACCATGGTTTGTAGAAGGTCAAGTTGCAGGGTGAGTCCTTGAGAGTCCATTAGACACAAAGCAATTTATTTTTTATTTTTTTTTTATTTTTGCGTTCAGTTTGGGGATTTTTTTTGTTTCTTCGTAGGTATACGGAGCAGTATTCCCATAATGACTACCAGTTGACTTATGCAACTGTGAAGGTGAGAAACGTTCTGCTTTTATAGTAGTATAAATTTTACATTTTCAAGTAAAATATATTGTCCTGGAAAACTGCAAGGAGTGCTCTGTAAATGGCGTCGAATATTCACGTACCATGGATGCTGCTCATTTACATTAAAAGTTGTTGATTTTTTTGCTTTGTTGTCTTGACTTTCTTTGAATTCTGTTTGGACCTTTGTAGGGGGCTGGTCATACGGCGCCTGAATACAAACCCGTGCAATGCTTTGCCATGATTGAAAGGTGGTTTTCTGAGCTCCCCCTTTAATTCACCGCAGCACAAACTAGTATTGAAGTTGAATCTTGTATTGCGAAGGAGAAAGTCAATGACAGAGGCTACAAGCAAGGAGTTTGGAAGATCGCGACCATTTGAGTGTGTTTTATTATGTTGTGCTTCTTTGTATTTTGTCTGTCTAAAAGTCACTATGTATTGTGAATTCGCATTTCCGGAAAATAGTGCATTCATGTTGTAATTTGCTATTGTGATTGAATAAAGAACATTTTTTTCTGCTTCATGAATACTTTGTCTTCGTCGTGCATCTCTTACTCCATCTATCGTAAACTAGAGGTCTAACTCAGTTAATCTAAAGGCAGGGTTTCCGACGATGGTTAGTGATAGTGACTTGGGTCCATTCTTTGTGTCTTTTACTTCATGAATAAGCGCCAATTGACAACTTGATCTGCACGAGGGATAGGAAGAGAATAAAATATATTTCTTTATCTTTAAAGTGAATTTACTTTTTAAAACAAAATCCTCGGGAATTTGCTTAAAAAGCCTAATCAACAATAATATTTAGTAAAATAGTCTATGGTCAATACCTCAATACTTTGTTGTTAATTAGTCTTTAGTCGATTTTATCATGTGTTAAAAGTATAAAACACTCTTCATTTGAAATATGTAAAATATCCAATTTGAAACAAAAATTTATCAAATCTCCAAAACCTAAATCCCCACTTTCATTCTAACTTCTCATACTCAATTTAAAACCAACGACAAAACGGCATACTGCCTTTTTAAACGACTTAATGCCGTTTTAACTAATTTTATGTTTCTATCACTTTATCTTTCCTCGTATTCACACAAAAAATAATGAAAACAAGTTTTAACTAGTGAAAATTGGATTAAATAGCCAATTTCATCATATGCTTTGGGATTTTAGCCTTTGACCAGAGTCAAAGGTTTAAAATTAGTATTTTTATTCAAAATTAATAAACTACCCTCGTTCCATCACAGTAATTTTCCTTTCTCCCTCACACAAATTGATTGAAACCCTTTAATCCTAAATTCCTCTCCTCTATCAAAGGCGACAATCGCTTCCTCCAGGTTAGCTTGGGTGTAAGCACTCTCGAATTTTGATTGGGTAGATTTCCATTTGCAGTTGGTAGAGGAGGAGATTGGGCAAATCTCATATGGACAATTTGTATGTCAGATTCTCCCGAATCTTTGTATCTTTGTAAATGGCGGACCAGATTCTGAGCCATCAATTCATTTTCCATTCGTGAGTGAAGAGAGCACTGGTTTGATGGTTGACGGAGAAATGGAATACATGCCCACGGATGATTATCTTAATAGACTCAGGACCGGAGATTTGGATATAAGTGTAAGAAGAGAGGCTGTTGATTGGATGTGCAAAGTGAAGTGATATTTTGAGATTTGATTTATTTTTTCTTGATCATTTGTTTAATCAATCAAACTGATTTTGATGGTCTATGTTAGTTAAAACATCACCAAACCGTTTATAATGTCAGCATGCCATTTTTTATTACGGACTTTCAATTTCACTATAGTTAAAAGGGGCAACTTGCTTAATAACACCGGTACAAACAGCAACAACAATAATATGCAAGTAATGCAATAACAAGAAAAGTAATTTAAAAAAAAAAAAAAAAAGTAGAAAGAAAGAGGTAAATATGAAACATTCCATGATTAATTTATGTGATTTCCTATTTTTTATTCTCCCAAGGCCTGATGGACAAAACAATGATCAAGATTATGATCAACAAGAGAATGATCCCAAAACAAGTCCATTTTCTGGTATTCTTCTGGTGTTTCCTAGCGACCTCCAGCTGATGAGTTCCTCCTCTAACAAAGGAATTGGCTCGAATCACATGGCTTTCAATATCATCCAATTGCTCACCCTGGCTCTGAACCAAAACAGCCATGTCCATGAAAACTTGGTGCAATTCCCTCAGATTCTTCTCCATTTCCTTCACTGCATCGTGCCTTTCTTGAATCTCCATTATAGTGTCCATTACTTGTCCTCTGCCCTGTTCCTGTATCGCCTTTTGGAGAAAAGTTTCGCTTTCACCTGTTTCGATTAGATTATCAAGGATCTTTTCATCTGGGTTTTCCCCTGTAACTGTGTAGTATCTTCTCTGAACTGTTTCTCTGTACTCGGAGTTCATCTTCTGTCTCAGGTCATTGAATCGGTTCATTATATCCTGAAGTTTTTTCCTCAGACCGTTGACGACAGAGGTTCTTGTCCGATCCGACGAGCTCCCGGGTCCACAACCCGGGATGCTCCGATTAGCGGCGTTGGCTCTATCCAAAGCTTCTAATCGGACCTTGATAACTTTCGCCTTTTTCAACGATATAGAAATGTCTTTGTCCATTTTCGCCCGGAGGTCTTTCACGGTCTTGGCTTGGTGCAGGGTTTTGCTCTGCTCGTGGGAGGATTGGAGTTGACTGTAGAGCGTTTCGAGGTCCCGGAGTTCGTCCTTGATGGCCTCTACATCTTCGAAAAACCTGTCAAGATTGACGCCGACGGTGGATGACGACTGTGTCATCTCTACAACATGGGAATTTGGCGGCGGCGATTGATCTTGGTTCCGGATACGTGAGAAAGATCCCGAGAAAAGATCATTCATTTTTGGGAAATTGGAGGTGGATCGGATGATGAACTTGTGTGATTATTGCTGTAGACCAAGAAAAAGCTGTATAAAAAATTTGGGGATGGAATTGATTTTAGTATGATGAATCTTGGGGTGCGTGGGGTCTTTTGCAGGCGAGGAGTTTGAACGGGTAAAAGTCTAAAAGAAGACTCCTAGTTCAACAACTTCTTTTTGTATTGGGAGAAGATGGAGAAACAAAAGTCAACTGATCTTGATATGTAATGGAGGCGGGAAATATCATGGAAAGGGGAAGGAAAAGTTACATAAGGGAGGGAAATGTCATAATCACTTCTGGTGGGCCCTGTTTAATATATCTTGAATTATGGGCTAAGAAGCACCGACACGGACACGAGTGTCCGACACGATACGTGTCCGACACGTCGACACGCTATTTTTCCAAAATGTTCCGACACGATACGTCTTCGACACGTTGATTAAAATATTAATTTTAATTTATTTTAATAATTAAAAATAATAATAATTTTTTTTTATACTTACTGCATCTTGTATATAAATAATTAAATAATAAATATAAATAAAATATGATATTAAATTCATATATGAAGGGTAAAATAGTAAAAAATTAATTAACATAAAATCTTGAATGTTGTTTAAAGTTGAAAAAAAGTAATGCATACTGCAAAAAAATGTGTACAATGCATTAATATGACTAATATACTACAAAGTGCATTTAATATGTTGGTCCACTGAACCAGCAGCCTGCTTTGAAAATTACTCCAACACAGACAGGTATTGTCTTCTCTCTCGTCACTTCTCTCTTTCTCTTCTTCTTCTTCTTCTTCTTCTTCTTCTTCCTTTCTTCTTTCTTCTTTCTTCTTTCTTCCTTGCCGTTACCGGAGCAGCAGTGTAGCCAACACAGGTACCGTTTTCTTCCTTCTTTCTTCACTTCTTCACCGTTTCCTTCTAGTTCGACACGCCGCAAGGAACCCGACACGTGTCGGCGACGTGTCTCCGACGTACCCGTGTCCGATACGTGTCGAACACCGACACGCCGATGCCGGAAGCGTGTCGGTGCTTCACAGATTATGGGCAACGCCAATGTAAGGGTGAAAAAAAATAATAATAATAAAAATCGTTTGATTGGTCAAAATTGATAATCTATGAATTGTATGCGTGGGGCTTCCCTTCTAGTGGAAAGTGGCCCATCTTAGGAGACTTTCCATGTCGAGGTCGAAATCAAGACTAATTCATCGATACTATCACTTTGAAATTGGACTCACGACTCAGGATATGGTTAGTTCTTCAATATAGAATATAGGAATAATTGCAATAATGGTTCAAACATTTCACTTTTTTACGGACTTTATCTCGATATTCACTTTGTGCGAGCCACAATCCTCAGCCTCTCATTTTATTGCACCACAAGGACAAATGGATGGAATCGATCATTGGTTGACCTAAAAAATGAAAATTTAACCAAATTAAAATAGGGTAAAACAATAACATTACATTTTTTAGTGGACTTCATTGTGTCAAACATACTAAAAGATCAAGATATTTCAATTATATTGGGTCGACCATTTTTAACAACGGCTCGAACCCTCATTGACATGGAGAAGTGTGAGTTAATATTAAGGGTAGAGGACAAATAAGAGATATTTAATATTTACACCCAATATGAGTAACCTCCTAACATCAAAGTTTGTTGTAGAATTGATGAAGAGCCACATGATCAACGAAGCTGTCAGAAAAGAAAATCAAATTTTCGTGGATTTCTTGATAGATGGAAATTTCAAAATTTGTAGAACAAAGAAAGGGTGCATTAATGAAAAGTGTACAAAATGCAATGATGGAATTACTTAGTTCGAACCACAATGATCAATCATGGCAAAAATTCAAGCTAATGACTTCAAAGGAACGCTTTTTGGAAGGCAACTCAACCTTCGTCCATTTCTTATTACTTGGTTTTTAGTTTTAGGATTGTTTATTTTATTGCAGTAACATTCTCGTTGTGTTATTTGTAGGAAGATTTTCAAGTGTGTGGGCAACAATGTGATCAGAAAGCCAACTCATATCCACCTCATTAGGGCGATGGCAATTATACAAGCTGATGTACTCAAGGATGTCCTGACCCTCATATATATTTATTTTCACATTGGGGACAATGTGTATTTTAAATTTGGGGAGTGAATTATTAGTTGTTAATTTCCTTTATTAGTTGTTTAGTATTTTTGTGCTTGCGTGCTTGTGTGATATGATTACATTTCCAGGAAAAAAATTGCATACTTGTGTGGGTTAGATAGTTTTGTCGACAATGATTAATATATTTGAGAGCATATATTAGTTTGTGGACTGTTGATGAATCATATGTTTTAATTGAATTTTCTGCTTATCTATGTAAAGCAGTACAATATTTATGCAACATTATTAAGTTTAGGCCGTACAGGAACATGAAGGTTCATATGCATAGGTTAAATAGATGAGTTAGGTACTTAATCCCTTAACACATGATTCTGAACATCCTTTAATCGTATACATTATAATTTGAGGCGTTCTAATCAGTGAAAGAAATTACTTAAGACTGTGTTGATTTCGTACATGTGAAGAAGATTGTGTGGAGTGTTGGTAACTTTCTAGTATGAGCTTGGTGATGACCAAATGCTAGGAATCTAACCCTTGTAAATTATATTTTTCTTTTATAGAGAATAAGCATGCCACTTATTCAGTATACGCTTAATGCCTGAGTCTTTTTTACTCGAGTTAGTAAGTCCGTATGAGTATCTTGAAACATGGTACCCTTTGATATTCATAAATCGAGAAGTTACTAACTTAAAACTCGCTATAGGGGTCAAGAAGAGGAAAAATGGGTGAAGTCAACATGAGCTAAAAAAACTATGTAAGTGCGCAAAGAACGGATGGTTGTGGGCCTAGAAAACTAGTGAGTTTGAATTATTTAGTATAAACAAGATTGTCAAAACACTCATAAATTGGGAAAATCATCACATGAATAAATTGTTGACGTTGCTGGTTGAACTAAATAAAACGAGAGTGTTGTAAAGAATTCATAAGTGAAACTAAACTTTAGAATTACATGATCGTAAGAGAATAAAAGAAAACAAGTTTGGGGTGTGTGAATCTCGCAAGCAAAGAAAGGAAATAATTGATTATTGAGGGTTGGGAAGTGAACCAACTTGTGAAAGTACGGTGTTACTTACACTTGATCCTTCACTCTCTCTCACACACACACCTGCTTTGCATTAAATAAGTGAAAGTTTGGCCTTTGCGTAATGATTTTGACACCGTTGATGAATATAATATAATGTTCCCAATATTAAGCCAAAAAGACAAGCTATCTGACATTATTTTTGTGTGTGTTTTCCGCTAGTGATTTTCTTTTTCATTGTGTTTGTTTGCTCGAGGACTAGAAAACATTTAAATTTGGGAATAATTTACGAGTACATTTTTTTTCACGAGTCATACACAATTTCAAATTGATTGTTTACTAAATCTTATGAGTATATAACGTTTTTGATGTGTTTGCTAGTGTTGTTTTCAAGGTTACGAGACGTGATGTAAAAATGGTGCTAAAGTTAACAAATAAGCCAAGGAAGAGTTTGGGACAGCAAGTCAGCGCCCAAGCGCTACGAACGGCGAAAGAAGCAGATATGGACAGAGAAGAAGAGCCTATGCGATGCACTCATAGCACTTAGGCGCTGCATGCGTAGGTGCTGTGTCGCCTGATTTAGGGTTGCACCGTTTTGACCTGTGAAAAATCTAGAAGAACCCTAAATTTGAGAAAAACGTGAGGGGGAGTATAAATATAAGGAGGAAGGATTTCAAAAGGAGATTCCCACACATTGAAATAAAATGAATACAACTAGAGATTGAAGAATGCAATTCAAGACAGGAAAACATCAAGGAATTCAAGTTTTGAAGCATTGATTGGAAGAGGAAAAAAATCTTAGTGCAAGATTGATATCTTTTTTTACATCTTCACTCTAAATTCGATGATGTACTCAACAACAACATATTTTTTCCCTCTTTCATTATGAGTGGCTAAACTTCTTATTATAGCCACTCATAATGTAATTTAATTGGGATCCTTTATTTATTTTATTTAAGTTCTTATTCTTTTAATTTATATGTATTGATTTTGATATGAGTTTAATGTATTGAATTACTTGATCACTAATTTGATATTTTGTGAATCTTTTACGAATCGAGAGGTGAGCTTGAGATTTAAACCATATAGTAAAGTTCAGTAAATTATTATAATCTGTAGAGATATTTATACTGATTATTGTGACCATAAATGAATTTTTAGAACCAATATTTCGTCTAACTAAGGTTGATCCGCATAGAGATATAGAATTGAATTAATTAAATAGATTCAATGAGAACTCGAGAGGTAAATTGAATATAATAGAAGAATTCGATCAAACACTGCATTAGATTTTGAACATTGATTTAAGACTTAAAGTTGATCAATATGTGAAATTGCTTTGCCCTAATAACCATTCATTATTTAAATTCTAATCAATCTTCGTGTGCATCCACATAATTTTAAGTATTTAGATTAAAAATTACAACACATAATTCTTTGTTTGCTTTCATCAAATAGGAGTTAAAAGAATTAGATTAAGTGTTGAAGTATAGTTATTGTGGAAACGATAATTCGGACTCAACTGTCAATTATCTTACTTGTTTGATATCGTATACTTGCGATAGGAAAAACGTAACTATAATAATAATTCCATATTCAAATAATAGTTCTATTGAAAATTCAAGTATGAGTTTTAATTAAAGTCCAAATTCAATTAGTTTATATTTAATTACATGCGTAGTCCTAGAACTTCAATTACAATTATAATTAAATTTACCTCTTACTGCTCACGGTGATTTCCGGGCTCAGTTAACCATTAAAACAGAATTCAACATCAATTTTGGAGTCACCAATACCGTCGGCGCCTCTTCCTCTTTGGTTGCTTTCCTCCTTTGCTTTGTTGATTTAATCCACTCACTTAGGATGGATACCACTCAGGTAAGGTTCACAAAGACTCAAGCAATTGGGGTGGAGAAGAAATCACGAAGAAGATGAAGGCAGAAGAACACGGCTGGGCGCGACAGTTTCTCTAACTCTCACGGCTTCAACATTGGACGGGTTCAACAAGGGTGAAAACACCAATATATATAGTAAGTCAAGTGGCCAACATAAGGTAAGTCAGGATATGGTAAGTAGGCTTGACTAGGGTTAACTTCCAATGGAAGGAATCAACAAGCCACAAAGAGTATTAGCCGTCCAATAGGTAAAGCAACGTTTGGTCGGTTCATCCATTATTCGATGTTGAATTATCGTTCAGTCATTCATGTCGACTAATAAAATTGGTTCTCATCATCGCCCGGGAGGTCGTTTGACAACATAATGTCTAACAATTATTAATCTTTGTTTTTTTCCACTAAAAGCAAAAGATTGAACTGCTGGACTATATAAAATCACAGAAACCAATAACTTTGTAATACTTTCCTCTAACCGACCGTATATGAATTTTATCCTCATTCAAGATTCGATAATTAGGTACAAGTATAAATAACTATTTTGTCCTTCTAATTATTATAACTAACTTGAGTATCATTTTTTTCAACGGTTCTGTGAACTAATCATAAATGTTGAAGTTTAGCCATCGTTAAATACTGAGTTCAAATTTTAACTGTTCAACAAAAAATACTTAAGTAGTCGTTCTACTCATTTTTCAGAGTAACGGTTCCCCATCACGAATTCATGTTCTTTACTTCGCTCATTCTTAAGTTTCCAACTCGTGAAGATATTTGTCTAATCAAATTGATCTCATCCATTGATAAATCAAATGACCATTAAAATCACGAAAATATATACATAATCATGTTATGGGATTTAGATGAAATACATAGTGGTCAAGTGAAATTTAATTCTTCGTGAGGTCATGTTATAAAATTAAACTCAACGTGTGGTTCGTTCAAAATACTCCAAGTGTACTAGTATCACTTTTAACTATTTTTGCGATAAGAATAAATTACAAACTTGAATAGTGAATCGGTCAATACTACAACCTTTCAATACAAGGTGCCAACTCTTATACATTAGTTGTGAACAAATTACTTATAATAATCAAAAAATAAGTTATGACACATTGTACTTATCAACGCAATTACCCAACTTATATTATTACAAGTGATCATAGATATTTAATTCACATGCTCACTAATAAATAATACAATAAATAAATAAAATCACAATTTATTTATTATAAATCATTATTTTATCATAGCAAAATATATTATATTTGTACGCAACCCAATAGAAAACTGGCTTAGGAAAATAATAATAAAAAATAAAAAAAGCGAAAACTTGAGATCAAGAAAATATAAATTTACTATAGCAACTATGTCAGATATGCTTGTAACAAATCTCTTTAAAACAAAATATGTTGCCACGGATAATCTACCTTGTGTCAAGCTAATGCTTCGTCATTCTCCCTGCAAGAGAGGATTCATCCTGAAATCTATAGCAACTATTTATTTATTGCTTAGCTGTGTCATGCCAAGAGATTGGTCTGGCATAACAGATTTCTTACATTATCATAAAGAATTTTTAACAAACGGCTTAAATACTTGAGCTATATTCGTACATGTAATTTCAATTTTGTCAATCGCTTCTTATAGTACACTTTTTTCATTTACAATGTCCAAAATGGTAGGCCATTGCAAGCCTCGTTTGAATCAAATATCCATTCGCCTCCCAAAATTCAAATGAATGAAAAGATTTCCTTTGTTGTTAGAGTCCTTCGTTGAGGATTGCCCGACCATTGCATTTGCACACCGTTGTAATAGCTAATCAACCTTCTTCGAGAACACTTTGATTTGTTGATGAAGTTGTTTTATGTTTATCAGCTGCGTCCACAAGCACGTATGTCACATTTGTGCATCCTCAGAATGTCATGGACTGCAAAAATGATGAATAAGCCTAAGTATACAACTGTTGAATCCAATCACCACATCCAATCACTACTTCACACCAGTCATGACACATAAGACCGTTGACCCACCATTAGACGCTCTGCATACATGGCCTACCACATGGACATCACATTGTGATCATCTTGCCTATGCCACCTCTAAAGCGTCTAATGCATCCTTAGTGATTGGCGTGGTCGCATATGGACGCCTTAATGGTTCCCTTGCACTATCTTTAGAGTTTGTGGCTAGTTATAGCCAGGTGTTGTGTAAAATTACACTTTAAAAGTGTGAACTATCTCTTTTCGATATTGGAATCCTTATACTAAATAAAGACACTAAAAGTTTTTAATCGTCTTTTCATCATGGATACTTTGAAGACTTACTCCAATTTACACATTTATCTATTTAATCACTGTCATGACAAGGATTAAATGCCAATAGTTGCATTAAAATATGATACGAGTCCACACCAAGCATGTGAGAAAATATTGGATTGTTGCTAGACCATATTTTTCCTTAATCTGTAATCGATATATTGGATCATCTTCATTTTAATTTCCATCAGAAAATTTTTATTTTCCCCAGAAATTCCACTGAAGGGACTCTTTGTTGCTAGATAAATGACAAACACGTAAATTATCCTATGACAAAGGTGCATGCCAATGACTATAAGAGGGATGGCGGCAGGTGAGTTTTGGTGGTCGGGATGCGTGTGGGCAGATTAATTTAATTTGATAATATTATCATTTAAAATTAAAATATTGAACTAACGCCTAATTTTTGTATTTTTAAACTTAATGTCTGAAAATTGATTTGGTGCATACTTGGAGGGTGTTTGAGCCACATTATTTTGGTAATAATACATTTTTGAATAGTGTATTGATGGGAAATGTGTGGTTAAAAAATAAGGAATTTTTTTGATTTGCGTGTAATATTATTTTATTGAAAAATGTGCGGTTAAAATGATGTCAAATCACTATTTAATAATACATTTTTTTTAAATAATGTGGCTCAAACAAGCCCTTAATACCTAACTTCTGATTTTTTATTTTATTTTTTGTCCATTGTTAAATAGCAACTTTTTGGTCCTATGAAGTTTTAATTCTTTTAATAAAAAATATGCTTATAAGTAAAGTTGGTGCCGGGTCATCTGGTTATACGGTTGGAACTTCTAATTGTCCCTTCTTTTTTCGATTTTTAATTCAAAAGTGATTTTTAGTTATAATCGAATCAATTTTAAGACTAGTTTTCAATTTTTCCAGTTCAATTGGTCGATTCAATTCGATTTCAACAATATTGATAAATATGGTAGGAGAGTGTAAAAATACTTAATCCCTGTTTGGTTTTGTTAAAATAGATTTTGATAAATAATAATAATGATGATGATGATGAAGTGCTATTGAAAACTTAATAAAAATAGTGTGTTTCATAAAATGTGCGATTAAAATTATTAAAAATTACATTCATTCCTACTTTTTAACTTATCAATTTAAATGTAAGCTATAAAATTTATTTATTTATTTATTTTCAAAAATTAGGTGTATCACACCCCACCTCTACCTACCAACCAATCACAAATCCTAATTTATTTTTTTATCCATTCTCCAAGCCACAATTACATCCACACCATAATAATTGTCGTCCATCACCATCGTTTGCCGTCCCCACCACGCAGTAACTGACAGCTACCTGTTGTGCACCACATAAGCAATGCTTTGGCGTTGTTCGCAGCATCTAGCGTCAATGCTACTAGTAGAGAAAAGGGTTGGAGGGAAAAAAACAATTTGGATGAGGATTTGTGGATCATGGCCTCGAGTGCAATTTGTAAAATTGTAAATGATGGTCTTCGTCGTTGTGGTTGGCAGCGACGGTGGCGGCGACGATGATAGTTGCGTGGGATAAATAACATTTTTGATCAATTATTTGGGTTATTGTGACCAATCAAATGAACAATTCGTGATTAGTAAATAATATTTAATCGATAAAATGAGTAATTTGTGGCCAATAAATAATTTATTATTTAAAAAATATACGATTATCACTGAATTTGTAATCGTACTCACAATTTGTATTTTTGTGAATGTGACCTTATGCAATTTGTAACCATAATTGTGTGACATTTGTGACCTTGACCTTTTAACTCGTTGTCACATTTACCCCCCGTTTGGCCTCCATTATTTTTTATTATAATTGGAGAAATAGTATTTTTTGAAAAATGAATGATTGTAAAAGAATGAAAAGTTTTTATTTACGTGTAATATTATTTTATTGAAGATTATGTGGTAGAGAGAAAAATTTAATTTAATTTAATTTGATGAGATTTAAAGGGAGCGAAATGGGGTTTTAATTTTTGAAAATTTTCACAAGTTTCTTATTCTCGAAAGTGTATCTTGAAGTTATTGTAATTATGTATTCGTCCCATAAAATTAATATTACTTGAACATAAAATTTTATTAATTTTTTCCAGCTAAACCAAACATGGTCTTATTTTCCAATAATTTTTAGAGAAGGAAGGGAAAAAAAAGAAAAAGAAACAACAAATAAAAAATTTGGCAAAATATTTGTCCTCATTTAAAACAAGTTAAAATAATATTTGAACATAAAGTTTCATCGGAATTAAAATATGCTGACTGATTGAAAGTTAACAATAAATTTAAATTAAAAATTGAAGAAAATAAAGAGACGATAAACAGAGATGGAAAACCTTTCACAATTAAAGTTTATAACAATATGTGATTAGACATCAATATAGCGACCTTATGTATAAACATTGGCCTAATTAATTGTTCCAATGGTCATTGAATTTTGGCCTAAATAATATTTTTGGCATTTTTTTATACAAGCGGCCGGCGTGGGTGGGGTTTTGGTCTTCTTTTTATACAAGCGGTCCCGCGTGGGACCGCCTGCTGTGAGTGTGTGTACGCACAGCATAATTGATTCATTTAAGCGACGCCCAGAAGGATGAACGCCACTTTCTTGATCATCATCCTCTCCATTACAGAAACCAGATTATGTATCCCAGACTAATTTTATTAAAATGTGCAACTTTACTGTTGTTAATTTTCTGCAGGATGACTTTATCACAAAATGTCATTGAAACTCTGCCAGGGTATCCTGGCAAACTTCCATTCAGACTTGAAACTGGGTGAGCTTCTCTATTTCATTTTCCTCCGACAAAATAAGCAGTTATCTGATGTTCTTTTGCAGTTACGTCGGTATAGGAGAATCGGAAGAAGTGCAGCTATTTTATTATTTCATCGAGTCTGAAAGGAACCCAAAAGATGATCCCTTAATGATTTGGCTCACTGGAGGCCCGGCTTGCTCTGGTCTCTCAGGTCTTATATATGAGATGGGTATGTTTCGGGTCTTTATACTGTTTTTGGCTCAAAATTGAATTTGCTATTAACCGTCAAAGTAAAAAAGTTTGTCCCTTCTCTCACCGCTGACGCTTTTTGATGGGTGATTAAAGCAAGTGGAGGGTTGATTTGAAATCTTACTTCAACCTATTTATGAAAATCATGTAGATCATTAGGCCTTTGATAAAAATAATTAAGGCATGTAAGTGAAGGAGCATAAGTTTTGTTGAAAGGATTACTAAGTTTGCCCCCATTCTAAAAACTTAACTTTAGAAAAGGCGATTCAACACATTTTTGATGCGGCACGAACTTGAACAAGTATATTTACATAGTTAGGGCTGGACATGGTCCGATTCGGTTTGGTTCTTACGAGAACCGAACCGACCCGAAATTTTCGGGTATTTAGCAAGTAGAACCGTCGAGTCCAAATTTAATTACGGAACCGTTTGAGTTCGGTTTCATTCGATTCGGTTCGGTCCGGTTCGGTTCCTTTCGGTTCCGTATTATAATTAAATTTTTTAATATATACAAAGTTACGTTAATTTAATTAATGATATATTTAATATTAGCTCTTACAAAATAACGTAGTTCAATCTTATGTGTTTCACGTCGCTCTTTGCTGAATTTTTCATAAATTTGATTATTAAAATTACAGAAAGAGAAAGATAACGAGCTCAAAATAATTAAGAGAGATGTTCTAGAGTTTTAATTCGATTTTCTCCGATAGAAACGACACTACAGTAGAATAACTGATTTGGATAAAATTGAGGTCAATTTGATTAAGTCGATTTTGAACTGAATATTAGAAATAGGAAAATCATATTTTGTGATTTGAACGAAATTAACTAGTTAATAAATTTATTTAGAAAAAATAAAATAATTTTACTTATTTAAAA